AAAAGAAGAGAGAGAAAAATGAAAAAATGGGTACCAAACATGGGCTTAGTAATCAGTTTTGCTACTTTTAACATTCCATGATGACATTTTAGATGATTGAATTGCCACTTGATAATTTTGTGTTGGTCGGTGGAAAAACTATTTTTTCCACCAATCAATTCTGATTTGTCATTTGATAATTTTGTTAATCAGGAAGTCATTTTTATTGTTACCATAGCAAAACTCCTTACTAATTCCTTAATTCTGATGTGGACACGTGTCATCCAAAGCTTGCCCAGTTTCTCTGGATATCTCCAGATATTTCTAGTACTGGAAAAGTGTTTCCAGATTAGATATGGTAATCTTCAAGAATTCTCGGGAAATACCGATTCTCTTCGGGAACTTGCACATTTAACCTTGAGCTGCACTATAAATACATTCGTCTCTCCCAACCGGTAGATCATAAAAATTCAAAATACAGAAAGAAGTCTCCTTAACAACTTACTAGCACTTAAATTGAGATCCAAACTTTCTAGAAAACAAAATTGTAGAATGTCGCTGATTCCGAGTGTTTTCGGCCGAAGGAGCAACGCTTTTGATCCATTCTCTCTCGATCTTTGGGACCCTTTCAAAGATTGGCCCTTTAATTCAGTCCTCTCAGTCTCAGCTCGTTCAGACCTTTCTAACGAGACGTCTCAGTTCGCCGCCACACGGATTGACTGGAAGGAGACGCCGGAAGGCCACGTGTTCAAAGCTGATCTTCCCGGCCTGAAGAAGGAGGAAGTGAAGGTCGAAGTTGAGGAAGGGAACGTTCTGCAGATCAGTGGAGAGAGGAGCAGGGAGGAGGAGGAGAAGAATGATACCTGGCACCGCATGGAGAGGAGCTCCGGAAAATTCCTTCGCCGGTTCAGGCTGCCTGAGAATTCAAAGATGGATCAGATCAAAGCAAGTATGGAGAATGGGGTGCTGACTGTCACTGTCCCCAAGGAGGAAGTGAAGAAGCCTGAAGTAAAGGCCATTGATATTTCTGGCTGAAAAGAGTCTTGTGTATTGAATCCGGATTAATGTATCATGCTCTGTTTTACTGTGTCTGTCTGGTTTTCGAAGCGAAGTTCATCAATTCGAAATAAAATGTGAATGTGTGATTGCAGCTGTTTATTGTACCATTTCCTGTTTGAGTCTCATTTTTGGAAGAAAACATACTTTTTTGTACACGATTAAATTAAAAAATAAATAAATTATCATATAAAATTATTTTAGGCGAGAATACTTGGTTAAAAATAAATTTAAAAAAAATGAGTTTTTGAAAGAAGAAAAGAAAAAAAAACGAAGGCCAAACGTATGTCTATTGACGCCCTCTTGTTGGGGGAGAAAAATTTATACAGCATGCTTTATAAGTAGGTTTGGAGATAGATTCAATCAGGAAAGACACGTGTCAATTTCGAATTGAATAGTTCATTAAAAAAAGGAAGCTAATAATTAATTATTAATTCACACATCAATCAATTTCTTACAACCTTGTTTTTGAGCCTGAAAAATATTCATTATCCAAATGGATGTGAGGTGAGTCTAAATTTCTGAACCCCACTAGAGTAGAAAATCAACTATTGTAAAATGCTAATGACTATTATAATAGGGTTAATTTCACAATTGATCACTGAATTTACAGAAAAATTACAAAATGGTCATTGAAATTTAAAACTTTTAGTAACGGTCATTTAAGTATTGAGACGCTTTCAAAAATGGTCACTGAAATTTAAAAATTTTTGAGCTACTTTTACGGCAATTTTTCGACCATTTTCGACCATTGATACCACAGGATTTTGATATCGTTCGAAAGTCTACAATGTCCTCTTCAATTACAACAAAAAATTTCTCCCAAACTCCAAAGGATTCGGCTGGAATAAACCAATAAAGTTGGCTACCCGAAAAGGCAAAAATATGCCCAAATTTTCAGATTTTTGGTGGACTTTTGCGGCGATTTTTTGACAACTTTCGACCACCAAAATAGCCAAATTTTGATAC